GACTGACAACGAATATGACTGTTGTTGATAATGTGGCCATTGTGAATAGGTTGGAGTGGTTTATATCCAGAAATTCGAGGCATGAGGGAATACGCTGTTTATCCGAAGATGCGATACAACGCGATAGCAGGGCATGTTTTGAGCTTTCGGTGCTTCATCTCATGCGAGGCTTCGATACGGCCCGCTCCCTGAACTTGAGTGGGGCGGACCACGGCCCGTCCTTTGTCACAGCCAATAACAGTGCGTGGGGCGACTGGGTTGATACGAGCGTACCCAGGTAGCGTTGTGTAGGATTGCGGCACAGCTTAAGCTATTAGTGTATTATACTTGTAATTTCTCTTATTTATAAAAGTATCTTTTTATTAAAGTTATTAATATTATAAAAGTTATAAGTAGCTTATTTTACTTTATATTATTATAGTACTATAAAATAAAGTAAATAGTAACTAAAAGAAGAAATTATATATAAGTATAAGTTAAAAAAAAGAAAATATAAAAAGTAACTACTATAAGTACTACTTCTTAAGTATACTATATATATATTATAGCTTTTAATATACTTACTATTAATTTAGCTACTAAGCTTAGCTTTTATAGTATATTACTACTATCTAATATTTTAATAATATATTTATTTTTTATAAAGTTTACTATAGTAAAAAAAAAAATAGTAAAGCTATAATTTACTTATTACTATTTTATTATTATTTTTAAACTTATTTTTTTTAAAAGTTTTACTACTATACTATTATATTATATAAGAACTTAAAATACTAAAAAGTACTTTTTCTTTCTTAAAAAGATTTAAAGTATATTATATATACTAAGAATATAAATATAGTATATATAGCTAATATTTTATAAGTAATAACTTAGTAGCTAAGAACTTTTTAATTACTAAAAAAATAGTAGTATTAAATTTAGTTTATTAACTTTAGCTACTAAGCTTTTAGCTAATACTTTATAAGTAAGCTATTTTAAATACTATATTTAATAATAAAGTATAATATAAGTAGGTACTAGCTATTTTAGCTAAATATAAAATCTTTATTTAATATTAGTATAAATAAAAGAAGTAGAAAAATATAGTAGAAATAGCTAAGTAGCTATTATAAGTAATAAGTTATCTAGTTAATTATTTAGATTATTTAGTTTATCTAGTGCTAGTATATTAAATGTAAAGTCGCTTAAGCTATTAAATTATGAACGCTTATAAGACGCTTCTGCAGGAATTTCGGCAAGTAGGAAAGTGTGCCGCGCCAGAAGCCATACGGCACAAGCTTGGCATACCTGAACGAGCGATAGCACGCTCGAATGACCCATACTTGGGACCCAGTATGTCCAGGAGCAGTATGAGAACGATGCTCTGCCCTGTGAAGTCTCTTGTGAGTGCCATTGTGATGTATTCGAGGTTTTTCGCTGCCACTTCCCGCTGACATGAATGATTATCGAAAAGTCCTCAATGTTGTTGGGTGGACGCTGGTCTCATTTTCATCCATCTTCGTCTTAGCGCGATCATATACACGCGCACGAATCGTGACGACGACTCTGGGCTGGGACGACTGGTGTATGATTGCTGGCCTGGTGAGTTCGACTTTAGACCTCAGTCCTACATTCGATAGCCATTGACTTACTCGAACATCAGATCTTCGCTGTAGTGTGTACATCGCTCGTAACAGCCGGCACTGCGCACGGCCTTGGACAACATGTATGGGACATCAGCGATCCAGAAGATCAGGCTGTGGCTACCATGTACGTGCTGTTGGCGCCTTGCTTCTCCATCGTCAGCGCCTTCTTCACGAAAGCCTCCATCATCATCGCACTAATGAGAGTAAGTACACAGGACTATGCAATGGACGGGACTCTTAGCTTACCAGCCTAGATCCGAGGACACACAGCGCGTCTATCGCACAAGTGTGTCGCGTACGCCCCTCTGGTCGTCCTACTGATCGGCTCCACACTCTCATGCTCTGTCATGATTTTCTTTTGTTCGCCCGTACAGAAGTCCTGGAAACCGCAGATTGAGGGCACATGCTTGAGCCCCGCAATGCTGGATGTTGTCGGAAAGTCGGTCTCAGGTATGTTGGAAGAATGCCAATGTCTCTGCCAGGTGCTGAAGCCCCAGTGTATAACGCGATGATGGACGTCTTTTGCGCCATCATGCCGTACTTTATCATAAGGACTTTGAACATTCCTCGAAAGGACAAGCGAAATCTTGTAATACTGATGGGTGGTAGCATTCTGTAAGGTCACCTCGCCGCACTGTTGGTGCAATTACTGACGTTGGCAGTGGCACATTCGCAACCATCATGAAGATCGTAGCAATGGGCAGCATCTCCAATGTCGCGGACATGACACACTCTTGGTCAGAGATAACGATCTGGTATCTGTGAGTGTAGTGTTATCGAACACAAGAGACCTTGACTCACTCAAGCAGGACTGAGAACAACGTCCTCATGATCGCTGGATGTTTCCCTGCCCTGCGGCCGTTCTGGCGTGTTGCGATTGGCAAATACAGCTCGTACCTCTCGTCGAACGCATCACGCAAAAATCCTCCACGAGGCGAAAACGGACAATCGACCGAAGACAAAGAGCTGCAAGTGTACACGGTGGGATCGCAGCCCAAACTAGGGAAGAAACCCAATTTGTATTCGACAACGATCCGCGTCAGTAGTGAAGAAAGGTTGTGTCCCAGATTAGACGGAAGTTCCGTGGAGACCATTGAGAGGATCCTGCACAACCATGGAGACGAGCGCTTCGAGCGCCAGGCTTGCATTGCCAGCACTCGGACAGGTGGAATATCACCCAGCGATTGCACGAAAATAACAGTCACCAGTGAGGTAGAGATCAAGTGAAAAGCGTGTCCAATCGTTCCATGCCAAAGTCCTGTGTTCGTGGCATGCCAGTAGCACCCAGCACTGTGAGTTTTGACGGATCGCGGGTAAACCCAATTCTCAAGATCCTATGGTTGTATGTGGAAGATAAGCTCGTTGTGAAAGGATATATTGACGGTGGACGGTGGGCGAAAGACCAAATCGCTTCCCAACATCAAGGCAACTCCTGCCCCGCCCTCCCGTCCATCTCATATCTCGCCCTCTCTTGTTCCAACTCAGTACGCCCATCGGGTGGTGCTTCGTGCGTGTAATCCTGCATATCCTTCCGAGCAGCATGGGCCTGATGCATGGTTGTGTCCATGGCCGGTTTCTGCAGTGCTCTCCTCTTCTTGCGCTCGCGAAAGAAGAGCCAAGCGAGCAACGCAATGATGATTATAGCAGCAGTTGCGCCGACGCCGATGCCTGCTCCTGCGCCCGCCGATATACCACCGCTCGACGATACATCGGATTGATCTGTGGTATTGGTTGCTGTTGGAGACGGCGCGCTGGTGGGTGTAGAGGCCGCTGCACTACCGTCCGAGGACGCGGGTGTACTTTGTGAATTGGTTGAGGTTGTCGCTTCTGATACTGCGACGCCTTGTGAGGCAGTGGCCGTACCCAAGCTGGCTAGTATACCTGAGCTATCGACCTTCCACCACATTGGCGTCTTTGTCGCGTCGGAATCCTTGTCTTGTGCGTCGCTTACTTTGCCTGCAGAGTTAGGGGTACGAAGTCAGTATGTGTCTCACATGCACTTCGTAGAGGCAAGACTTACCTGTCAGCGGGTTGACATAGCGCAGTTGAGATAGCCCATCTGTGCAACATCGATCATTCCCATAACACACGACGTTCTCTCCGCATGATATTAGTCCTATCCCCTGCCAATCTTGTTCTAGAAAGTCCTCTCAATAGTGTTCTGTATGAAGACTTAGACTGTATGGACTCACCGGGAAACAAGTCACTACAGCCCGTCCAGTTCTTATCGGCGCAATATTGCCGGCCAATGTTTCCTGATCTTGTACACAGCAAGTTGCTGCCGCAACTTTCGCTCCATAAGCAACAATTGTTCGTGCCTTTGCCACATGAGACTAATTCATCGCTAGTCGGGTTGTTAGATTGGAAAGTCTCGCCTATGAGAAGCGCACGTTAGCAATAGACAGAAGGGCCTATGATGGCAAGACTCTTTTGGTTCCGGAAGTACGGATGCATACGCACCATCGCGTGAGTAGCAATCGGCCCAAACGCCTACTGCCAAAGTGAAGAATATCACCCGCTGTAGAAGGCACACACGCATCGCAACGTATAAGGGAGTTAGACAACGAGGACGGCAAGAAGAGGAATGACGAAGAAAGGCGAACGGACTCGTCAGGTAGTTAATTAAATAAGACAGACCGATGTAGGCAATCTGTGTCACAGCCCTACGCAGGGCGTAATTGTAATATTCGGAATAGCGCTTAGGTTTGGCCCCCATATCCATTTACTTACCCAAGATGAATCGTATAATTTGGGATTCAGCCGTGCTGGTCTGTGCCAACAATAAGACGATGCCGTGCCGGAAATAAAGGTGTTCTTCAAGTGTATCGCTCCACGGCCTAAGAAACTCGGGTGGGATGAAGTCCTGGGTGCGCGATGAGAAGTGCGCTGTTGTGGCGCGTCAGAAGGGCAGATGACTGCAGATTAGCCAATTGTTGGTCCTGATCGTACGCGCCACCCGATAGAATCAGATCGTACGAGTCGCCCAATAGAATAAGACAAGTAAATGAAATGGTACCGATGGAAATCTGACGCGAGAACATACGTGATCATCCATGGTGTATTATGCGGAAGGGCTTCGCATCTGTGAAGGAATAACACAAGTAGAGAATTTGCCATGCGGTTACAGTCCCAACAGAAGGCTAAGTCGGTGTTTTAGATGCTTCCGAACTGCATTGTATGTTGTGTAGAGAAAGTAAGGAAAGAAGGAGCTATGGACCAGTGGGAGCCAGTCAGCGTGTGGCTGAATAATCCGACAAACGTCATATTTCGTTTGGCCCGAGTTCCCGAACTTTCATTCACGAACCTACATACCTCGCCATTGCGACCACACCACCCTACCCACCAAACATACCATCCACACCTCTACAAAAGATGGCCTCAAGCACAATCCCACGTTCTGCCATGTGCAGCCTATCCCGTGCGACACCGTCTCTACGCTCCGCAACACCGCGCATCGCCACGAGATGTCTGCACCAGCAATCATCGCCCATCACAGCCTCGAGACTGCAACATAGACCAACAGCACAGCCATGGAGCCAAAGAGTAGCAGCTCCATCAGCGACAGTCGCGCGACGAACCATGTTCATCCAAACCGAGCCCACACCCAACGCCGATGTACGCACTGCCTCCAACCCCAACCCCACCCCATACTAACTCCCTCAGGCCCTAAAGTTCAACCCCAACCAGCGCGTCCTCCCCGAAACAATCTCCTCCCCCTTCCTCGAATACCTGAATCCCCGCTCCACCCTCGCGCCACCGCACCCCTCCCCGCTCGCCGCGCAACTCCTCAACATCGACGGCGTAACCAGCGTCTTCTTCGGCGCGGATTACATCACCGTAACCAAAGACACATCCACGCCCTGGTCGCACGTAAAGCCTGAAGTATTCGCCCTCATCAACGAATACATGACGTCCGGCCAACCCATCGTCAACACCGTCGCCTCCAAACCCGGCGAGCAAGGCCAAGGCGGCCAAGAAGCAGATTCATTGGCCTACGACGAAAACGACGACGAAGTCATCGGCATGATTAAAGAGTTGCTGGATACCCGCGTCCGCCCCGCGATCCAAGAAGACGGCGGCGACATTGAGTTCCGCGGCTTCAACGACGGACAAGTCATGTTGAAGCTGAGGGGCGCGTGCCGGACCTGCGATTCTAGTACTGTGACGCTCAAGAACGGGATCGAGAGCATGTTGATGCATTATATTGAGGAGGTCAAGGGGGTTCAGCAGGTGCTGGACCAGGAGGAGGAGATTGCGTTGCAGGAGTTTGCCAAGTTTGAGGAGAAGCTTAGGCAGCAGAAGGGGCCTGAGGCGACGAAGGGGACTGTGGGGAAGGGAAGTCTGGATTATGTTGAGTAGGATGGTGAAGGGGGTTGTTGAGAGAGGATTCGACATTGACCATGTGATACCAATGCATTCATTCTGCTGTTGTTCGGCATCTGCGATGGGATGTGTAGTGTGAAGTTGTAGCTAAGTTTAGATTTTTGCAAACGGTGCGGTATATCCACCGGGGTATGCAATAGATCACTAATCCAAGTATCATGATATCACATCATAGGATTCAGTATATAAGAGTAGCGTTTCGCAAGTGAACCAAGTATACTACAGGAAAAAACAACAACAAAAGAAACAGTAATCATGCAATGCCAACCGATCAACGTTAAATGGGTATCCAGAACGTACCAATGCTGTTGCGTCAAAGGAAGAAACCAGAGAACGAAAAGGACAACGCCACTCATATGCTCACAATATAACCCAAAGTCATTCCACGGCCGTTCGCAATCCAAATGCAACCACCTCCTCTTTCATATGCAAAACCCCCGCTTCATCCTTCATCATTCATGTGCTCTGACAACGGCCGTAAATCATTGTAAATCTCAATATCCAAGTGCATGCGTGATTCCAAGATCGTCATTATAGTCGTCAAATGCAATATCGGCCGTAGGCAAAGTTGTCTTCATCCACATCTCGCATCAAATCATTCTTCCAAGAGCAAATTCGAAACCGCATCCAGCGCCTCGCCCATGGAGCCCCAGAAGCTGCGTCGGGGAGGCGATCGGATGATGGTAATAACCTTCCGCTTGGGCGATGACGGCTCTTCGGTAATGAGAGTATCCACGGTATCGCGTAGTAGTTTGGAGTATTCTTCGTGAATCTCTCGGGATAGGTCTTCTTCCTCGACGAGCGTCATACAGCTGTCTAGCATGCCGAGCTCTTTCGCTGTATCGTTGTTATCGTGAACCTCATCATCTTCTTGTAGCGCCTCGCTTTTTGCGCCGAAATCCGACCAGACAGATTTCGCAAGATCGTCGTGATGGTAGCTCTTGTCCAGCTCCTCGCGCATGGATTGGCGGACGGACCTCATCTGCTTGCGCAAATCGTTGATGATGTCGGTTTGAATGCGGTTCAGTGTTTTGAACTCGTCCATGCGCGTCTTGAGGTCGTAGATGTACTTTTGCACGCCCGCGATGTAGTTGCCTACTTGCGAAACATAAGCTTCGTGGTGCAACGTTTTGGCTTCAAGTTGGTGTTGCTCACCCTCTGCTTGTGTGACGATGGCGAGTTCCTGACTGGAGTCGGAGGAGGGCTTGTCGTCGTGTGTCGCTTCGGTTTGGGAGGCGCTGGGTGAGGAGAGGTGCGCGGTCATGGCTTCGAATTGTCCGACGATGTACTCCATTTGCTCTTCGTCGGGGTGGTGTGTCTGGATGAGGTTCTCGAAGTGCGCGATGCAGGATGAGAGCGCATTCTGTACGGGCGATGAGGATGTCTCCGAGTCGTCGTCCCATGGTGTCGGTGAGGCGGGGAGTTCGGTGTTGTTTCGACGTAGTATGCGTGAGCTATCAGGAGTGTAGGGATAGCGCGGTTCGCCTTGGGTACGCGAATGCAATGAATCGTCATAATACGACCGCGTAGGCGTGTATGGCGCTGGCTCAGTAAGTCGTGAGCTGGGCTTCGGTCGCGGTCCTGTCGCAGGTGTGTTCAACCCGAAGCTATCTGTGACCCAAGCAGGCTGGTCAGGCACCCGATTGGCCTCTTTCAGCCAGCGCTGCTCGGTCGCGATAGGATATCGTGGAGGAGAGGTACCGTAGATGTTGAAGTAGTCTGCCTTGTCTTCGAGTTCCGGAGGGGTCCATGGCCGATCTAGGGTGCGAGGAATGTCCATTGCGCTTTCGTGGCCGCGCGATGGCCACATCCTCCTCTTGGCTTCCCAAACAATGCGCGTGCAGTCCAAAGGCTCTCAAGGGTAGGAATACAGCTCCAACAGCGATGCGCTCTGGTGTTGAAGAGAGCGGACACCTGCGTAAGCGCGGGAGACGGGAGAAGGCTGGTCACCGCCTGTGACGTGCGTGCATCGCCGAGGCCTGCGGAGATCTAGTGCGCCAAGGAATTTGCTATCGATAACACTTTGTGGCCCCTCCGATTGGCCCGAGATTCATCAATTCTGGCTTCAATACACATAACGAGGACTGTAATTCACAGGTTCTTCTGTTTTCACCGCTTATCAGACGTTTTATAGACACATATCTCACTCTATACAAAGATGGCGTCACAGGTATGTTCATGACTCCACACACGGCTGGCTACAGAACTGAGCGCATGACCACTTAGCTAGGCGTTCAGCCATCGCTTGACACCATTCGAGAGGTATTGGCTGCAGCAGTCAAGTCGCCCAACCCACCGAACCTCGTGCCCGTTTTCTCCTCGATACCCGCCGAGTTCTTGACCCCGTCAAGCATATACCTGAAGATATCCGCAAAGTGAGTGTGACTCATTTCATGCGATGTGGACTGGAGGGGTTGGGTCACGTCGGAGAAACGCTGTGAGAATCGACTGTCAGAAGCGGGAGGGGTTGGATCGATTGCGCACATGCTAATCGTGGGGTCAGATCCAAGTCAAGACTATCCTTCCTATTCGAGAGTGCTGCGACAACCGAGACCATAGGACGGTATAGCTTCATTGGCGCAGGTCGGTACTTGAACAAACTTCCGGCATACACAGCTGACAAGCTTCAGACCCTCGCAAAGTCATCAAGACCGGCCCGGGCCATGGCGAAGAAACCGATCCACTACCCCTCCTCGAAAAGGAACTCGCAAAGAGCCGCGTCGCGACCGTACCCTCGATACAACTACCTCCTATGACCGGCGGCGCGGTGGGATACGTTGGCTATGATTGCGTCAAATACTTCGAGCCCAAGACACGGCGAGATGACATGAAGGATGTGCTGGGTGTACCAGAGAGCTTCTTCATGCTCTTCGATACCCTGGTGGCTCTGGACCATTTCGCGCAGGTCGTAAAGGTCATAACGTACGTCAAGGTCCCAGACAGCATGGACGACCTAGAACAAGCGTACGAGGAAGCGAAGAGTACACTAAAGAGGTATATGACGATACTCAAGGACAAGGACATCCCGCTACCGGAACAAGGGCCTATACAGCTAGGCCATCAGTACACATCCAACATTGGCCAGGAGGGGTACGAGAACCACGTCAAGACATTGAAGAAGCACATTGGCGTTGGCGACATCATCCAGGCAGTACCTTCGCAACGGTTTGCAAGACCGACTTCATTGCACCCCTTCAACGTGTACCGGAACCTCCGCAACGTCAACCCCTCACCGTACCTCTTCTTCGTCGACTGTGACGATTTTCAGATAGTGGGGGCAAGTCCCGAGCTGCTGGTAAAAGAGGAGCAGGGTCGCATCATCACGCACCCCATTGCCGGCACAGTGAAGCGGGGCAAGACACTGCAAGAAGATGCAGCACTCGCAGACGAATTGTCCAACTCGCTCAAGGACCGGGCCGAACATGTGGGTTGCCTGACATCAAAGTGCATGCAGCGACGTTGGAAGCTTACATTGTGCTGTACAGGTTATGTTGGTCGACTTGGCTCGCAATGACGTCAATCGCGTGTGCGACCCACTTTCGACACGAGTTGACAAGCTAATGGTTGTCCAAAAGGTGAGCAGCGTTCCGTCCGAACCGTGATTACCGTGGATCATGCGATGAGCTACCGCGCGATGATATCAAGCGAGCGCTATGATATCAAACTGAGGGCTATGCTAACTGCAATCAAAACCAGTTTTCCCACGTGCAGCACCTGGTCTCGGAGGTGTCCGGGGTGCTGCGACCTGGCAAGACACGATTCGACGCGTTCCGCTCTATCTTCCCAGCTGGTAGGTAGCGCGTTGAAAAAGTTGGAAATGTCGCTAACCGGCAACAGGCACGGTGAGCGGTGCGCCCAAGGTGCGTGCTATGGAGCTCATTGCTGAGCTGGAGCGGGAAAAACGCGGTGTATATGCTGGCGCGGTGGGATACTTTGGCTACGGCAGTATTGATGGCGACAAGGAGATTGAAGGTGCCATGGACGTGAGTAGTCTTGCCTTGTTCCAGGTTGACAGGAGGCTGATTTTTGCAGACATGCATTGCGCTAAGAACCATGCTTGTCAAAGATGGCATCGCGTATCTCCAAGCAGGGGTAAGTTTAACGGATTCCCTGCTTTAGCTGCAAGACACAAGGCTAATGATTGGCTGCAGGGCGGCATAGTTTTCGACTCGGACCCCTACGACGAGTGGATGGAGACGATCAATAAGTTGGGTGAGCTTAATTATTCCTTTTGTCGTCTCCCCCGAGTCAAACGCACAGAGCTGACCGCTGTTTGGTAGGCGCGAACACGCACTGCATCACATCAGCTGAAGAGAAGCATCTGGCCGAGCAGCAGGAGGCGGGCGAAGGGGACAGAGACGGGTCGGCGCCGAAGCTGGAGGGCGATGCAGAGGCGCGGATTACTCTTGCGGCTTGATGCTGCGGCTTGATAGACTGCGACATGCGCCACAGGTGGTATTTGCCGTAGGGTGGGTGGGTGATTGGCAGCTGTTGGCCCGGTGAAGAGCGATCTATGGGCCTGGATCTCATCCAGCCCCCCTGCACTCGTGGGGAAGCGAGATTCGTGGGTTCTTGGTAGCTTTGTGAAACGGAAATGAAAGGGCGGGTAAGCACCAAGCGGCAGCCGCTATCTCGACGTCACGACGACTGGTAGTGCTTGAATGCACACAAGATTTGATTAATTTGGTAGCCCGTCACACCAGCGCGAAGGCCGATTGTGTGCAGCGGCGGTCGAGTTCGGGCAGGATGCTGTGTGAAAGCGTGACTGTGGAGCTGGAAGGCATGACGAAGGTGACGGAGCGGATACCATAGTCGAGCGAGTCGCGACGAGAAAGCTGGTTCGACATGTGAGTTGTACATGCAGCTTCGGATATCGGCCCTGGGGTGTGGTTGGCGTGGCTACATCATAAGGTAGGAGCGCTGGGCGCATTGGCCAATGGGCGCGCAGGGGACCGGTCGTGCATTCCGAGTTTCCC